TTCTTGAAAGCTTCCAGTGCTGAAGCTCCCACAGCTTCTGAAGGCAACTTCTGTTCCATTGATTGATGGTTCTCATTGTCAGAACATTTCTCCTTATTTCCAGGTTGAATCTCTCCTTGTTCAGTTTCCATCCATTATTCCTTGTCCGGTCGTCAGGTGCTTTGGAAATATATTGACTCCCTCCTCTTTGGGGCAGCCCCTCAAATATTGGAAGACTGCTATCACGTCTCCCCTAGTCCTTCTTTTCATCAAACTAGACATACCCAGTTCCTGCAACCGTTCATTGTATGTGTTAGCCTGCAGTCCCCTAATCATCTTGGTTGCTCTTCCCTGCACTCTTTCTAGAGTCTCCACATCTTTTTTATAGTCTGGTTATTATTTAGATCCCATGAATTTAAATTAGCATGATTAATTTTCTTTGGCTTTCAGAGTTTATGGGTTATTTCCCCCTAATTTGTTTTTTTCAGGTGTGCTGAAATAACTCCCTAATAAATACAACAGTATTTTGGTGGCTGGTGGTCAGAATTTGTTTTGAGCAGTTAAGAGCTAGAGATGGCCGGACAACCACGTTGAGTTGGTGGGATTATGCTCTTCCCAGGATATTGCTCATGTTCCTTTTTTGCAGGAAACTTTTGCAAGCTTTTTAAAATTATTATTAAGCATCCTTTTTTAATTAAAGATGTGCTATGTAGAGAATGTGCTGTTGGTTTTTGGCAGCTCCGGCATGAAAAATAATGGGCAAAAATAATGAATGCGATGTCAAGGTCTAGACTGCCCACTCCACTCAAAAAGAACAAGTCTTACCATTTAAACTAGGTGTTGGCAGAAGACTCAGAGAGCAAGTGTGTCTCCATTGGGCAGCCACCTATAGAGAGAAGAAACAGTATTTTAAATCTCCATTATGCTGAGCAGATGCAACTTAAGTACAGAACCAAGGAAGGCATGAGAAAAGCCAAGGCTGAATGGGATAAGTGAGAATACATTTTCAAAGGAGGGGACAGTCTGGTTAATGTGAAGGGAGTAAGGCAGTTGTTGGCATGCAGAAACATCTGGCTGGACTCATCAAGGCTTAGAAGGGAAGTAGGATCCCTCCTGGTTACTGTTGTGGCCTGCCAGAGGCCAGCAGAGTTGGCAGCAGATTCGGACAGTGAGGAGGTTGGGGAGGAACATGGGCCAGTCCTGGAGTCTGGGGAAGGCTCTGACGAGGGCTCTGTGTCGGAGGCAGAGAGGCGACCGGAGCCATATGCCAGTTATCAGCTGCCTTTGGAGTTAGACAGCAGTGGGGCAGAAGAACAGCTGGAGCCTATTTCCAGTGCGTGCATGCGNTGTGTTTCCCTTCCCCTCCTTGGATTTGTGCGCCGCCCTGAGTCCCGTTGGGAATAGGGCGGCATATAAATAAAATGAACCTCGACATAAATTATTTCAACTTTTACTCTCAAAACGACAATATAGGGCACTGCACACCAGAACAACTGGACACGAGGACAGTTTTCTCCCGAATGCCGTCACTCTGCTAAACAACTAATTCCCACCACACTGCCAAACTATTTACTAAGTTTGCACTACTATTAATCTTCTCATCGTTCCTATCACTCATCTCCTCCCACTTATGACTGCATGACTGCAACTTTCTTGCTTGTATCCGGACAATCTATATTGATTGTTTTCCTAATATGATTTGATTGTTTATTTGTTCCCGATGACTATCGTTAGGTGTGGTACCTTATGATCCGTGATGAATGCATCTTTTCTTTTAGGTGCACTGACAGCATATGTACCCAGACAAATTCCTTGTGTGTTCAGTCACAATACTATTCTATGCTATTGTTCTGGAGCCAATTTATTCCAGGGATTAATTGTTCCAACTGTCAGGGAATTTCTCCTTAGTTCAGAAGGGACTTGCCCTAATCTCTTCCTTCTTCCTGGGACAAAAAGAGAATGACTGGCCCAGGTTCAACCAGCTTGGCAGGATTCGCATTTGCATTGCTGTTTCCCAGCCTGCTGCCTTTAGACTCCGCCACCCCAACCTGGCTAATGCCTGTATGCACTTATTTACAGGTAGTCCTCGACTTACGACCGTTCGTTTAGTGACGGTTCTAAGTTACAACAGCACTGAAAAAAGGTGGGCTCATGATCTTTTTTCCCCACACTTACGACCGTTGCAGCATTCCACGAATCCGCCCACCCATGGCCACATGATCAAAATTCAGATGCTGGGCAAGTGGTTCATATTTATGACGGCCACAGTTTCCCAGGCTCATGTGATTCCATTTTGTGATGTTCTGAGAAGCAAAGTCAATGGGGAAGCCAGATTTGCTCAACAACCGAGTGACTAAACTTATCAGTTGCAGGGATTCACTTAACAAATATGGAAAGTAAGGTTGTAAAATAGGTTGTAAAATAGGGCACTTAACGGATCTCTTGTTTAGCAACATGAATTTAGGGCTCGGTTGTCGTCGTAAATCGAAGATTAACTGTGCTAGTCAGTTTTTCAAAACTCGCTCAGCAACATAAAGTTTGGAGCCCCTTAGGGTCGTAAGTCGTGATCTACCTGTATTAGTCAGTTTTGCCAAACTCACTTAACAACGTAAACGTTGGCCTCCATTGTGGTCATAAGTCGAGGACTACCTGTATTAGTCAGCTCTGCCAAAAAAAAAAAAGTCAGGATGGTGTAGAGTTGTGCCGGGGACAAGGAGACCCGGGTTCAAAACCACCCTTGCCCACCAAAGGACGCTGGGTAGCCAGTTGCTCTTTCTACACCTAGCGTCCCTCGCAGGGTGGTTGTGAGGATCAAATACAAAAAAGGGAAATGATGTGGCCTGCCTTGAGCGTCATCAGGGAAGGCAGGACTGTGATCTCAGGGACAAATAAAGAAATAATAGACAAAAAAAATGAAATTCAATGTAGAGAAAAGTAGTCTTACACTTAGGCAAGAAAAACCAAAAGTTTACATATAGATTGGGAGAAAAACGGGGCTTAATTGCAGTAACTGTGAGAGGGATCTTGGAGTCTTAGTGGACAACTAACTAAATATGAGCCAGCAATGTGCAGCGGCAGCCAAAAAAATCCAATGTAATCCTGAATTGCATTAAAAGAGGAATACAATCAAGATCGCTAATGGGGTACTAATGCCACTCTAGAAAGGCCACACAGAATACTGCATCCAATTTTGAGATGCGAGACCGTCTTCTGCCACATACCTCCCTTAGACCAATAAGATCGCACAGGATGGGCCTTCTCGGGGTGCCTTCAGCGGGACAATGGCGGCTGGCGACGCCTAGGAGTAGGGCCTTCTCTGTTGCCGCTCCGGCCTTATGGAATGAACTNCCTCAGGAATGCTGGGAGTTGAAGTCCACAAGTCAGAAAGGGGCCATCGTTCCCCATGCTGCCTCAGGAATGCTGGGAGTTGAAGTCCACAAGTCCTAGGGCCACAGTTCCTTACCCCTGACCTAAGTGGAAGTGCCCTCAAATGTGCTACTTTCCAAAATCCCAGGATTATAATCCTACAATAAAATAAGAGTTTGGATGTCCTGGGAAATGTAGTCTTAACTCATCTGGAAGGAATCAAAGTAGGGTGGCTGAGATAGACCATATCTACCACTGCTTGCCCCAAATGATTCAAAGACCCAGTTTCATTGGTGATACCCTTCCTTGGATTCTGCTTCTGAGGCCCCAGTGGATAAACAGAGAGGTTTAACAAACTTTCAAGGGAATTGCCTCCATTTACATAATCCCCGAATGTTCTCATGACCTGAACAACTATCTTGAAAAATTGGCTGCATGGCGGAACCTACCTTCTCATTTACTGGAATGAATTCCTTATTCAGAGAGACGCAACGAAACAGAACTGAGAAAGCAAGAAGAAAATCATTTTAAGAGGGATAAGAGATCTTCAGAATGGAAGAAGCTTCTTGGATGAGAAGCCAAAGGTTTTCAAAGGAAAAGCTGCAGAGCTGCAAGTGGCTGACCCCTGGGCTAAGTCGTTTAATATATAAATAAACTTTTTTGGCTTATGAAGGTTGAAATTGGGCCACTTAAAAAGGGCCGTCAAGGCCAGGAACATGGGACCAGGGGCTGTATGGGGCTTATGGGTTCACGTACTCCCCCCATCCCAGCTCAAAGTGAGACCCTTGTTAGATACCCAAGAGGCACAACATCTTGAACTGAGATCACATACAATTGGCAGAGAGCTAGTCCCTTTCCAGACCTCTTACCTTTCTGTCCTGGCTTGTAGATGGGTTTGTCGGTCTGAACAAAGATGAGGCTCTCCTGATTGTCGATGTAGACTCTCTTCCGATCTAGGTACCTCAGGGTTTCTCCTGTCACCTCCACTGTGAAAAGCGCTATGTGGGTGTTGAAGGACCTTTCCCATTTGGGGAGCTGGAGAAGGGAGAAAGCAGGCAGGTTAGTTTTTCTAGAGAGGAGTACAGTGGCTGTTAATTGGCCAAGCCAAAGACAGAGGAGAGGAGGGGAGGGGAAGAGAGGGAGGGGGGAAAATGCAAAGTAGGAGGGGAGAGGGGAGGGGAAGGAAGGGGAGGGGAGACGAGGAGAAGGCAAAGTAGAAGAGGGGAGGCAGGGAAGGGGAGGGGAGTAGAAGGAGAAGAGAAGAGAAAGGAGAAGGTGAAGAGAAGAGAAGAGAAGAGAAAGGAGAAGGCGAAGAGAAGAGAGGTGAAGAGAAGGGAAAGGAGGTGAAGAGAAGAGAAAGAAGAAGGCGAAGAGAAGAGAGGTGAAGAGAAGGGAAAGGAGGTGAAGAGAAGAGAAAG